GATGGTGAGTGAGTAAGATTCTGGAATGTAAACACAAATGCCATTTGAGTAGAAAAAAGGTTATTCAAGTGATACTATTGAAATAAAATGAGCCATTGGATGGGAATGATCCAAACTGATATGTGACTGATAACAGACAGAATGTTCATTGCCATTTATATTCAAAAAAGTTATTCAATTTGAATTTAAATTTCTCTTTTATTTTTTCACAGTCATTAATTTAACGTTCTGACAAATGTTATTAATATTTATTATGAATAAATATATTTTATTAAAAAAATTATATTTTAAAATTATATTTAAAAAATTATTAAAATTATATTTATATCAAAATTCAATCCTATTTTTGTAGTGAAATGCTAATGCGGTCGGAGTGAGCATTATCATTCTAGAGCTTCTTGGGGAAGTCAAAAGAACGGAGGAAAGGTCAGCGACCAGAAAAACCCTAACCCCTCGGAATTTTCCAGAGAAAATGCAGCCGAATCCGACCAACTCCGTCGATCCAGACCTTCCCCGGCTCGCCAGCATCAAAGTCCGGTCTTCGTCCCCCCGATTCCGGCCGCAGACAAGCCCCTCCGGAACCGATACGCCCACGGCTGGAGCTCAGCGTAAGATCGGCATCGCCGTCGACCTCAGCGATGAGTCCGCCTTCGCCGTCAAGTGGGCTGTCCATCAATACCTCCGTCCCGGCGACGCCGTGATTCTCGTGCACGTCCGCCCCACCTCCGTCCTCTACGGCGCTGATTGGGGATCTGTTGACCTCTCCATCGTCGACACTGATAACGAGGAATCGCAGCAGAAGCTGGAGGATGATTTCGACACTTTCACGATTACCAAGGCCTCCGATCTTGCCCAGCCGCTGGTGGACGCTCATATCCCGTTCAAAATCCACATCGTCAAGGACCACGACATGAAGGAGCGGCTCTGCCTCGAAGTGGAGAGGTTAGGTCTTAACGCGGTGATCATGGGGAGCCGTGGATTTGGTGCCACAAGGAAAGGAAACAACAGCAGGCTTGGGAGCGTCAGTGATTACTGTGTTAGGCATTGCGTTTGCCCTGTTGTGGTTGTCAGGTATCCTGATGATAAGGATGGTGGAAATGCCAATGTAGAACCCGTGGTGTCTGTGGCTTCCATGGAGGATGAAGACGAGCCGGAGTATCTCGATGCACAAGATGATCACAAAGGTAATTGCTCTGTCTTCTCTAATCAATTAAGTTTACAGTTTTGATTTTGGGTCATGAATGTATTGATTAACAGTAGCTATAACTTATGATAATTTCTACAACATCTTTAATTCCTATATCATGATACGGAGTGTTATTCAATTAGCAAGTTTTGTTTTCCTGAAACACATTCCTGGGTCTTGGTTCATCTGGAGCATGGTTTGTAGGTAAATAGATGAAGCAAAAGATGATTAGGATACTTTATCATGATTGTGTTAATAACGCAACTTAATCCACAATGGCCTTTTTATTCCTTTATTTTTACACGGAGTGTTATTCAATTAGCAAGTTTTGTTTGGTGGCCGTCATCCAGATTGGCATTTTAATTCTTTCATCGTGTTTAATCAAGTAGAAAAGGATATATCAGCTGTGGCATCATTTGTCAAGTAGGAATTTGGAAAACAACACTTTATTCCTTTTCAGTGAATTTTCTCTTAATTTGAGAGTGAAAATGGAATATGTTCAAGTGGTTCAAGGACCTTTTTTATACTGCTGAAAAGATGTTCAGAAACTTACATGAACTAAAATGTGATTTTATTTAGAATGCAGCAACTACGGGTGGAAATATATTCATGTCTCTCACATCAGCTGTTTAAAAAAGGAATTTCTACTCTTATATCATACTCTCTAGACTGAATAGATGTTTATAATCTTGCTTTGGTTTTACGGTATAGGCATATCCTTATGTGCTACTAAACTCTTGCATAATGGAAAGATATGTAGACTTGAGTCTTTTCATCATTCCATTCCATAATGTGTCAAAGCATGTGAGGCTATCACTTCTTTGGATGTTTCACTTGAATACTGTTCTTTTCTGTCCAGAACTTGCTCTGATTATCAAGGTCTTTTCTATAATTTGAGATTCACTTTATTTTTTTCATAACAGATTCTTAATTCAAACTTGGACCTCTGATCCTTACTTCCTGCAATGGCTGCAAAGGTGTGTATGTCTTATTCTCCCTTAATCTGCTTCTTACAGTGCATTTTCTTATTGTTGTTTTAAAATCAAAGACAAAACATGCACCCGTCTCATGACTAGGTCATTCACACACGCGGTTCCCGACTTTCATGTTTTTCTACTTTTATTGCACGATTCGCAATTTCTTGTCTCCATTTGTCACTCCCCTAGAAAAAATAAGCCGGAAGTGGTACATTAAAGTATAAAACCTCCATGTCTGCCTCTGATTTGCACACCCCACCCTTTTTTGTGTTGCAGAAGTAATCCAGATTCCAAACTCTATCCCAGCTTTATGAGTTTTCTGATGTATTAACGCATCGTCTGATCGTACGATATGTAAATGATACTTTGATAAGTCTTTCGTCGAGTGTGTATTTGCAGTTTACTTGTGTGAACTGTGTGTGATAAATGTATTGTTTAGTGTTTTCGGACCGGTATCTTTGTATTGTTCATTGTGATGATTCTAGCTGCTGCTGCCGCGAGTTTTCTAAATTTTCTCCTGTCTTGAGAGGATTCTATTAAACCAAATTGTGCTCGTGAAACTCCATAGTGAAGACAGAAGAGATTGAAATAGGCCAAAATGCAATTAAGGACAGAAAATTGCTCTAGGGTACCCTCGAGTTTCTAGTAATAATTCCTAGATCCTACATTATTTCGAATATCTGAAATATACTTCGGCATCCATAAAATTTATCATGTTATATCTTGAGGATACATCCTGTCAATTTAGACATTTAGAATTGAAAGTCACTTTACTTTGACAAATTAAAAAAATTTATCTATAATATTTTGTATTTGACGAACTAATAGAATTTTCTCAAAGAACGGTCAAATAGATAGAATGTAATCTTGAAGTACATTACTATAAATTTCAAAGACTCATGTATATTTTTGATAATATGGGATTTGAGAGTTTTTATTAGAAAATTAATGATACCTCAATGTAAATTTTAGATAATTTAAGACCTGGGAGTCAATATCAAACAATCAAGGGCATCTCGATGTAGCTTTTGGAATTATGGGGTAGTAAACAAAAGAAAAAAAAATGGTTTGTGACATTTCTTTTTCACCACAATAAAAAGAATTGCTCCTTCTGTTCCATTTTAAATTGCATGTTTGCCTTTTTTTTTTCCGTTCCAAAATAAGTTGAATGTTAGTTGTTTTCGTAAACTAATAAAAATGAAATATTTAAACTACTCCTAAAATAAGTCATTCTTCTTCATCTTATCTTCTTATTCAACGTCACTCCTCTTAAAAAGTAATGACAATTTCAGAAAATCAACTCTATTCTTTCTTTTCCTTAAATATGTCCAAAAGTCAAAATAGACGATTTAAAATGGGACGGAGGGAGTATGTTTCATTCTTCTTAAATAAAATTGAATATAATTTTGATCTAAGTAATTTCTGTCCTAAATATCCCTCGTGGCCAACTCTAGTTATGTTCTTATTAGCCAAAATAAAATATTCCATATATGATTTTCATCTGGTAACATTCTTTTTTATTTTAATCTAAAGAGCTTAAAAAATGTTGAAAACTAAGTATCTTATAGTTAAAACTTGTATAGCAGAGAAGAATTACGAGTGACTCACTAAAAAAGAAAGTGATTCTTTTAAGGACCAAAAAATAAAGAATAATGTTTTTATAGGATGGAGAAAGAAATGATACTATGTCAGTCCTCCTATTGTACGAATGGTCGAATGTATTAATATGAAAAGCAAATTTAATGTAATTAATGACTAAATCTGTCCAATTTAACTCGAAAAAATTAAACCAATATTCTATGATGGTGGGAGTAGCATGCAAATCTTGATCAAAGTAACCAAACAAGAAAGTAGTGCATAATACAATTTGGACTTCAACATGCATGTGCATTTTTTTTTTAAAAAAAGATAAACAATATATACACACAAAATCAATCAAGGGAAGCTTGGATCTTGCTAACTATGTCTTGAGGAATCAATGTCCCATCTATCCTCAATATGCCTTCTGATTCATCTATTTGAAGCAAATCCAACTGATATTTCAATAGATTTGGAGGCATGAAATGTTTCCCTTCTGTCGCTCTTTTGCTTAGCCGTTCAGCAAGAACATCGGGACACACATCCAACAAAACAAATCTCACCGAACAAACGCCGCCGTGTTCATAACTCGCGTCAGCAGATCTCAGGGTTTGTCTGTACCGTGCTTGGAGAGCAGAGCAAGCAAGAACCATTGTTTGGCCCTTCGTTATGTTTTCTCTCAATATGTCACGTAGTGTTTCGAGCCACGGTACGCGATCTTCCTCGGACAAAGGGATCCCATTCCCCATCTTCTCTTTAATTATAGAAAACATCATGTTGATCAATTGCTTGCTTGTTTTACATTGCTATCAAAGTTCCCCACATGAGGGTGTGGCTTGGTTGAAGGGGAGCCGGTGGGGATGACAACGGGTCTGGTTTTGCTATAGCAAACCCAATTTGAGTTCCATTTTATCGGGTTGAATTTGTGTCTATTAAAGTCAGGGCGGGTCAGATTCGGGTTGGATTGCCATCCCTAAGGCCTACGGGGAGGGGCGAGGAATTGCTTCCCTTCTCTCTTTTGGTTCAACAAAAAACAATGTTTTGAACTAAATGGGGGAATCATTTTTCCCACCCTTACACTTCAACTAGACACACCCTTAAAGTAATGATACAAAACAAGAAGTTTAATACTCTCTCTGGTCCTAAAAACCTTTCTTGTTTTGGCTTTTTTGGTCAAACAGTAACAATTTTTTACCACAAATGAAACATAATCTAAACAAATAAATGATATAAAATTTGATATATCAAAACTATATGTTAAGATGAACCCGATTATATTGAATTTCTATTATAATTAAATATACTTTTCTCACAATTTGTGGTTAAAGAGTGTCATTGTTGACAAAAAAAGTTAAAACATGAAAGTTTTTAGGACCGGACTCCGGAGGGAGTAGCTTGTTTGGTACAATGAAGAAGTCATTTTTACTTCAGAATTGTTTTCACACTAAAGTGATCAAGGATTAACTCTTACTCTAGGCCCCCAAGGTATTGCTTTTCCTATTCCAAGAAAGCAGGAAAAGGGAGAAAGTTTTGGGTAAAATTCTCCTTACCACACTTGTTATTCCTATCCATAGATTATTACAATGTCATGAGTGATTCCATTCCCATTAACCAAACAACAGAATTTTAAATCACACAACTTATGAACAGAATAGGTAGCTTTTGACTTATGTATTCAGCTAAAATAGGCATTACCAAACACCTTTCCTTTGAAAGAAAACTTAACTGATTCAAGCACAACCTTCCTTTCCAAACTTCCTAAGTTTGATGCATTACCTTTGTTCGAGGGAGAGTGAAAATCATCTGCGTCAACAAAGCGACCATTTATGGCTTTTCCAAGCATCTGACCTATTGTTCTGTAAAAAATATAAAAAATAAATGACCTTAAAGTGTGGACTTTGTTCACATATACATACCAACAATGGCAAAAGAAACAAGGCGTTGAAGCAAAGCGCGAGACTTACGACTTTCCTGCACCACTTGGACCCATAATCACAATAGCTTTTCCTGTCAAAGTATGGTCCTATAGTTGTATTAAAAAGACAGAAAGAAATGGTATACTGTATATTAGAAATGGAAGAAAAAATAGGTTGTGTAAAACCTTTAGGAGATGCCATGTGAGGAAAGCTCATGATTAAATAACTGCAAGATGTTGAGACTTGAGAACATTGTATTTCTAAAAATACTTCACAAACTAACTAACTGACAAACCAATCAAACCAGAGACCATGATCTTGAGGACAAGATGTACACAAACCTTACCTCTACTTCAAACGTGTAGAGGTAAGGTTTAGAGTCGGGATTGTCTTGGAAAAAATCTCTCTCTACTTTCCAAGTAGGGGTAAGTTCTGCGTAAACACAACCACCTCATACTCCACTCTGGAATTTTACTAGATATATTGTTGCTTAAAATGGTAATTTCGCATGAACAAGACAAAGCAATGCTCAGTTACACAAAGACGGGTACTCAAACCCGGATAAAAGCATAGAGAATCACCAAAAATCCAAATTTTACAAAGGATTTTGGGCATTCAGGACGTTTCCGAGTACCCATACGGGGCATTTTGGGGACGGAAAAAGACACAAACTTTAAGATGCAACACAGTGCCATTGCTATATGTTAAAGATAAGCTTCCCATGGATCCCTAAAGGTCTTGTGTTTTAATCAACAATTTGAGGCTTTATCATTCCAACAATCCAAACGCACCCTACTGTCAGATTTTCAAGAAGCCAAAACTGCAATTCAAGACAAACGTTTATGTTTTCCACCAGACAATTAGAAAAAGATCAAACGATTTCCTTGCAAGATCCGAAGAACAAGAAGCAACATTCAAGCAAATGTGTGAAATCATGGCCGGTACAAACAACAAACAAACAAACAAACAAAAGCTATTGAATGAAATGAAATGAAATAAAGTAGGAGGATGATAAATCGTAGAAAAACCTAAATGTTGAGTTGATTTCGAGAATTTCAGCAATTTGTTTGATGGGTTTCTTCCATATCCATGGAAAGTCAGTGTCAAACTTTGCTTCCAATCAACTGTTGCTTCTATGGCATACCCAGAAGTAAAGAAGTTTTTTTTTGCTTTTATGGAGTATTTCATAAATCTCTATATTTGGTCCTTTAATTCAATAAATTTTTCCCTCCATTCAAAAAATAATAATTAGTTGCTATTCATATCTCAAATTAATTCTATTTTCTTAATATACTAATATTCTTCATTTAATAAAATAAAATAATTTTGTCACTACTTGTTTTATAGAGTTTTTTATTTGATTTTTAAGATTATATATAAATATATAATTTTTATTTTTAATTTCTACACCAATTTTTTAACTTATATTGATTTGAAATTAATTTTTGTGAAATATCATAAAGTGAATAAGAATCTTATTTTGGCAAGAAGGAGTATGTAGAATAAGATTCTTTAAGTGAAATTTGAACTAAATATGACTAAAACATAAGTCATTTATTAATGTAGAACTTTAAACTTTTTTATTCTCTAAATAGGATTTAATAATGTCTAGTGGGAGAAATGATATCCAGTAATAATGGACATTTAGTTGAATAATAACTAATTGATAATGAACAAAAGTCCTACATTAAAAAATAAAAATATATAGTCCTATATTGAAAAAATCATTATGTTTTAATCATATTTAAGTAAATTTCTCTTTCTTTAATTCCAAAAAGAAAATCACAAAATATCTTTCAAACCAACTAAACATTACATGGTTGGTCCTTGCCTTTTTAATAATAATACGAAGTAAGTTAATCTTGCTATTTTTATTCAATTTATCAAAAGGTATTCACTTCGTCTTAAAATATTTGTCGAATTTTGACTTTTTTCAGGTAGTCAGGATCAGTACTTGACCTATTTAGTTAAAAATTATGATAACAATTTTTTCTAATTTTATATGTTAAAGAATAGGGGAATAATATTTTTGACCAATAATGACAAAAATACCCACTTGTTGGAGCTGTTAGAGAAGAAAAGTGAGGACTAAATTCTAAATTTTACTTCAAAGAAAAACAGAGAAACACAAAAACATGTAAAAACGTGTTTGATGAGAATTGGGGTGATGATGACGATAGGCTGTTTTTGGTTGCTATCAAGCTGGCACCACATGATTCTTTCATGCTGTTTTTTGCGGAGTATTATAGGCAGGATTTGTGAATTAATTAGTGGTCTTATTATATGTTTAATTACTCTCATGTTTAATTTGATCTTATAGATTATACTCCATCGGCAATAGCCTTATAGGAGTTATAGCCCTACACAATTTTCATGAGTCCATGATGGAATTTTTTCTATTGAAGCTTTGGCATCGGTTGTTTAATTTCCTAACAACCGATGTCAAAACTTCAGTGAAAAAGTTATACAAATATACTCAGGTCTATTTGCTTTAATTTTTTCTTAACAACCGATGCAAAAGACGTAATGCAATTTTTGATATCCAACTTATTGATCTGCGTTGTTGATCTGATGCTCCTGATGTGTCCAACTCACTAATTCGTGATCTCTGCGACCTCTGAAGTAAATTTGAGATCTAATTTTTCTATTTCTTCCTTCGTTTTCGTCTTCATCATCCAGTCCTCCATTCTCACCCCTCTTATTCGTTCTTTTTCTTCTTTTTTTTAAATTTCTTCTTGACTTCTTCTTCATCATCATGCACCCTTTTTTCTTCGTCTTCATCTGCCCCACCCCACCTCACATATTCTTCATCGCCGGCCCCCCACGCCCTCTAGTTCGTTGTGAACTTGTAGTAAATAAGGAAATTGCATTGATCATGTTGTTATTTTATTTTTTCGTCGTGGAAAATAAATTGTATCGATTTTGAGGTGATGAAAGATTGAAGGTCGCCGCTGATAACAGGAAGTACACCTTGTTTTTATTTATGAGGGATGTTGTAGATCTTGTTATTATTGTTGTTCAACTCGTTCTTGTGCGTTATTTGTGAATGTTTTTGTTGCGATTGTTTGTTGAGCTTATTAAGTATATTGTTGTTTAGCTTGTTAAAGATATTGTTGTTGTTCGTTGTATTTCCTCGACATTCTTGCTTGTTATTTGTTTTTAGATCTTTCTTGTTTGTTAGAATGTTCTTCGTTTGAACATCTTGTTTTTTCTTCTGCTTCTTGTTACTTTTAATTATTGCGTATTAGGTCTAACTCGACATGATGTAGATCTTTTAATAGAGAGAGCAATTACATTGGTTATTAAATAATAACTAATGTAATTACAATCGATTACATCGGTTATCACCTAATAACTGTTTCAATTTCTCCCCTTATTAAAAAAGCTGCACCCCAGCGACATCAATTAATACCTAATACCTATTACGGAGTACATAGCTCACATTAGCATGAGACAAAAACTAATGCAATTGCTCCAAAATAATCGATGCAAGTTAAGGAGTACCCTCACTTTCGAGATTAACATGATTGTTTGCAATGAACAACTCAAAGATCAAGCTTGAAACTTAAACTTATCCACTCCTGACACCAATTGAAATATTTATATCTAATTAGAGTAGCGTGCTGATTTAAAATTAGATTTAGGCTTTGAACACACATAAAAGCCGATGCCTCAGAGGATGTTAACTCATCTACTTGCAGAATACTTTAAATACAAAAAAACACAAAGAATGAATACTTTTTGTTAATGATTTCTCATCCATGCCATGTATATGACCTTTTTCGGCTATTGCATCTCATTGACAAACAAGGTTGGCGGCCTTCTCGTTCTATTCAGGTTTGTCTTCTAGACATTACAATATTTGTATATTGAAAATCTTCTTCTATATCGGAATTTTCTTTACGCATGGATTGCTCTCGTTCGCTCTAAAATATCACAAGGACTGTGCTTTAAATAGACCTTTTGAAACCCACTCCTAGTAAGAATATGTAAGTAGATGTTTTGAATGCAGCCTCTTTAATCATAGTTCATAAATAAGATAAACGCATCTAAATACCAGCTATAAATATGATAAATAAATTGTAATACTACCTCCGTCCCACTCTCTTTGTCCACTTTTGACTTTTGGAACTGTTTATCTAAGTACTTTGACTCATCAAATTCTCTCAATGTGTAAGCCTAAATATAGTCATGTGTGATCTTGTTTGATTTGTCTTAACATATAGTTTATTAATATATAATTTCTATAATTTTTTTAATATACAAATTACAAGATAAAATGGATTAAAGAAGTGCATTGGATGGTGTGCCAAAAGGTAAGTGGACAAAGAGAGTGGGACGGAGGGAGTATGTATTTGCAATCCTAATACGTGTCTAACTCTAATTTAGAGATTGCAGATTCTATTTCATCACACAGGGTTTGTTGATTGTTACACTGTAATTGTCACACTATCACCGCCACATTACGATCTGTCGCTGCCGGTCACCAGAGTGCTGCTGTAGATCGCTGATGGCTGACTGATCATGCTGATAAATTACACTGTTATCACTTTTCCAGCACACTACTAACGCGTATTCTTACACTACACTCTGATCATTGTACTCATGTTTTGATTTTAAAAGACTTAGAGATTTTATTTTGACATTTTTATATTTTTTTTTACTTATACCTAGGGAGAAATCTTATTAACTTTTAATAAAATATATCTAGAACTCTTGCATTAATTATTGAATATATTTATTTTTAGAGTAACTTGATTACTAAAATTTGTCATTTTTTTAAAAAAATAAATAAAAAATACTCCGGTAAAAAAGAACTCGGGAATATATATTGGCATCTGCGGCGTCAAAATCTCTCCGTGTCAACAAGAACGACAAACAAACCATGGCAGCTCTGCAAGTCTCTTCCTTTCTTCTTCTTCTTCTTCTTCTACTTCTCATATTCCAATTAAACCCCCATTCCTCCTCCGCCGTCTCCGTGTCCATCCACGATCTCCTCCGTTCGAACGGCCTGCCGGCCGGCCTCCTGCCGAAGCAGGTCAGCAACTACTCCCTGTCGGAGACGGGCCTTCTGGAAGTGTATCTAGAAGGCCCCTGCCTCACCAAGTTCGACACCATGGCTCTGTACGACAGCGTCGTCCGGGCCAACCTCACCCACGGCGGCCTCACCGGCGTCGAGGGCTTCTCCCAGGAGGAGCTCTTCGTCTGGCTCCCGGTGAAAGGCGTCGTCGTCGACGATCCCTCCTCCGGCCTCATCTTCATCGACATCGGCCTCGCCCACAAACAGCTCTCCCTCTCCCTCTTCGAAGATCCGCCCGATTGCTGCACCAAACTCGGTAAATCGAATCCAAACCCTTAATTAATTGCCAAATTCGGAATCTTTTTTCGATTCAAATTCTGGGAATCCATAGATCCAGTGAAATCTAGATTGGGTTTTTTTTTGTTTTTGTTTTTTCGAGTGATGAATGGGAAGGGAAGAGATTCGAAAAGGGGTTCGTGGCCCTCGGATTCTCCGAATCGTGCGTCTGACATTTGTTTCCGGGGACTCCGTGTTTTCAGGAAGACGAGAGAGTTACAGTGACATTGGATTAAGACTAGGTTAATCTTTCAATGTGAATGGGAAAATGTGAAGTCTTAGGAGTATTAATTACGATTAAGAAATGATGAACTTCATCCGTAGGGTGTCCAAAATGGGCCTAAATTCAGTTGAGTTATAATTACTCATTCACCCTGAATTTATTGTCTGAGAGCACTGGAAATACTAGTGAAGCTCCGGGGCTTCAAACTGGGCCTTCAAAATTTTTCTATCTGCCACATCAGCTTTAACTTACCTCACAAATTCAGTGGAAATGGGTTTGAAGCCCTGGGCTTCAAACAGGGGCTTCAAACCTTCATTTTTTACATTTTTAAATATACATCTTCTAAATTTAAATTTTAAATTTTAATTAATTTATTATTTAAATTAATCAAAAGGAGACTAGTGCATTAAAAAAATTACATTCATTAAAAAAATATTACATTCATAAAAAAAGTTACATTTATTAAAAAAAAATATTACATCCATAAAAAAATAACACTACAAAGAAAATACTAATTATTCGAGCGACTAAATATATCTTCATTCAAATTTGAGTTGTAGTAACATATTGCAAACTGAAATAATTCATTAAATAAAAAATACAGTCAATAAAAAAAGTATGTTAAATTTAATAAAAAACAAAACAAAATTACATTACTAAAAAAATTTAAACAAAAAAATATTACATTAAACAACAAAATATAGAGTAAAAGAATTTATGTTTGTGTATATTTTTTTTAAAGAGAGAGTGGGAAGGCTTTGAAGCCCGTTAAATGTTTGAAGTAGGAAGTATGAAGCCCCAAGGGGGCGGTGTTTGCTGCCCCTTTGGCGTTAAAAGGTGTAATAACGCCCCTGGCGTTACTCCCATTACCAGTGCCTGATAGTTTTGACTTAAGTAATTTTTTTTAAAAAATTTAATTTATTTAAATATTGAAACAAATCTTAAAATAAGATCTACTCTGTGTATATTTTAAAAAGTGAAATTTGCACTAAATAGGATTAAAACATAATGACTTTCCTGATGTAGGACTTAAACTTTTTTATTCCCTAAATAGGATTTAATAATGAGAAAGAGAGAAAGACTTATGTTTTAGTCCTGTTCAGTGCAAATTTCACTATTAAAAATTTGAACTTCTTCTTTCAATTTCACCCCGCCCCACCCCCACCCCAAGCCCCCCTACACCCCTAGATCGAAAGAGATCACATGTGAGGACGACTCTACTTCATAAATAAAACTCTTTAATTTTATATCTAAATTTATACTCTTAATTTTTTTTTCAAATCATCCTGTGTGCGAAATAATTAACTTTGGCTTAATTAAATCCCAACAGTTAACTCAAGAGGTTGAGAAACTCAAACTATTACTCGCTCCGTCCCCCCAGTTTTTGTCCACTTTCATTTTTACACACCATCGGATACACATCTTTAATCCATATGTTAAGACAAATCAAACAAGATCACACATAACTATATTTAGGCTTACACATTGAGAGAATTTGATGAATCAAAGTACTTAGATGAACAGTTCCAAAAGTCAAAACTAGACAAAAACTGGTTCTCCCAATGGTTCCATTTTAAAGGGTACGTAGTAATAATGACAAGGACCATGCTAGGGTGCCACCACATTAGTGCTACCATGGGTGCACCCATGCTTCGCATAGACAAACACAGACGATAATTGTCTGTGCGACACAGACAATTACCGTCTGTGTTTGTCTGTGCGAAGCATGGGTATACCCATGGTAGCACCCATGTGGTGGCACTCTAGCATTTTCCTAATGACAATGTGTCCCCATGACAACTTAATGACTCATTTATGTAAGTTATATGCGTCACAGGTGTTTTGAAGAGGACAGACGACAGGGAGACATCGTCGTTTGCCACTTCATAATGACTCATCATCAGTGTAACCAAACACCATCACCCATCATCATACCATTCTAATTAGTGTTTTGGGATTAGGTTTAATTTTTTTTTACTGCTTGTAGTAGAGTAATTAATTCATTTGTTTAGTTAGAGCTGTAAAGATTTTGCAGTTGTTTCATAATATTAAGCCCCCGTTTCATTTGAAATTGTTAGTGTTAGAAATTGCTATTGAATACCCGTTTTCAAACAATTGAAATTAGACGTGAAAACAAATGCAAACAGAGTGTCGATAAGTCGCGTGAGAGGTGTTTGAGAGTAATTAACTTGTGGCTAAAGTGTTTTTTTTACAAAAGTTAAAAATAAAAGCAACATATATTTATTTTTTCGAAATAGTGTTCTATGTACGAAATGATAGTGAAGAAAAGCAGAAGTTTGTATGTCAAATAGAATAAAATGACTACCATTTGAAGCAGAAGTTAAATTGTAAAAAGCACTACAATGCCAAACACCATCTAAGAATCTAATCCATACATTTCATGAATCATCTCACACCAAATTCAACATACATATGCAGTAATACAGTAACATATACTGAAAATTATTTATTAAAACAAGGTTAAACCAACCCAAATTTCAAAATTACTCCCTCCATCCTAAAATTTTCTTCCCAAAGCACTATTCCAACTTCACGGGAGTTTATATTTATTTGTGTTTTTTCATGGCCTATATGATAAAATAAAATACTCTTGTCACTACTTGTTTTGTTGAACTTTTGATGTAGTTTTTAAATATGTATGTTTTATTTTTTATTTCTATACCAATATTTAAATAAAATAGATTGAAAAAACATGGATTTTTTCTTCGTTTTGCGCAACGGGAAGAAAGTTTTAGGACGGAGAGAGTAGTATAAATAACCGTAATGGATCGGATTTGTGCGATTTGTCTACGTGTTATAAATAAATGGGGCGAATGAAATTGTAAACAACATGATTAAATAGAGTGTACCCCAAATGTATGTACTAACATTTTGATAGTTCATACTGATACAAAATACTAGTGTGATCAAAAAATTTGTACTAACATTTTATTTCTTATGAACTATCGCACTGGTATCACTAGCAAAAAATAAAGATGCAGTTGAAGTTAGTTGTTTCATTAAAATAAACCTAAAATACATATACTTTCACAACATTGTAATGATGGTAATGGGCCTGTTTGGGAATAGCGTTAGCGATTAGCGTTAGCGATTTGAAAAGGCTATCTATGGGCAGCGCTTAGCGTTAGCGTTTTCAAAATAATCTACACCGTTGAAATTTTATCCAAAACGCTAACGCTAATCTTTAACGCTATTCCCAAACAGGCCTAATATGTACTTTCATTAGCATTGTTAGAGAGATCAAATTTATGCGCAAATCATATATTTAAATATACGCACTTTCAATGGAAAAATCAAAAGAAGATAGTGTTTATTTAGTGATGAGAATCAAAGTACTACGCAATTACCAAACAACGAAAACTATCAAACACCCTTTTATGTTATAGTTCTTTGGCACAACAAAACTTCAAAAGATTTCGAGAAACAGATTTCTGAGTTTTTGTTACCAATATGTGAGATTTGAAGAAATTCATAAATTGACTTTTTGGTGAGAATGTGTTGTTAATTGGTAAGCACCACTTATATTATTATAATTTAATTACTTACTCAAAATTATAATGTATACACAATACATATATATCTTATATTTCGGTACTTGCAGATGTAATTGGGAAAATTGTTAGTCGAAGCCCACCGGAAATCCGTACAGGCACCAGAGTAGATGAAAACTACATTGGAGGATCTTAAGTATGCGAAAATTTATTTTCTAATAGTCATGAATTTTTATTTGATTAAAAAATTGTTATCCAATCAATTGTCTCATTATGTTCTAAAAAAATAAATCATATATAATGTCCTAAATGTAGTTTATATAAATAAGTTATATATATAAATTATGTCGGAATAATGTAACTTATAAAGAAGTCTTTTGAAATTTGTAAATCAATTAACTTTTATTGGAATCAATTAACTTTTATGTCGGAGTAATTTAGTAACGTAAAATGGAATGGAATCTAGAAAATTACTCCCTCCGTCCCCAAATATTTGACAAACTTCTATTCACGAGGTAAAATATTAAATTTTTTCAATTCATTTTATTTATATATTGGTAGAGAAATAAAAAATAAAATTTACATATCAAAAAACTGCATGAAAATTTATTCGAAATAAGAGGTTTAAAGAATATTTTATTTTATCAAATAATAATTAATGAAAACGTAGAAATAAATAAAAGTTTCTGCGACTCCTGAAAAAATAAATGTGACAAATATTTTGGGCGGAAAGGAGTAAAATGGAATGGAATCTAGTATCTATAGAGAACTTTTAACTTCTAGCCAAAGTCATTATACGGCATAGTCGCAGCGTAACGAATAAGGAGAAGTCTAAGACGGACGACACGTGTGCCGGGATAAGAGGCCGCCCTCTTCAGTTCTCTCTCTCTCTCTCTTTCTCAATCGCCCTCTTAACCCTCGTATAATTTGATCGGTCTTATCCGGGGGAATCAATCGCGATCAGTATGGGCGGAGGAGGAGGCATCAAGGCGGCGGCGAAGCTCGCCGGGATCGGCGTTGCCAACAGCGCGTACTACCGAAGCCTCACGCCGGATCACCCGGTATGCGCCGCTGCGCGTAAGGTCGCTCGCCCGGTCTCCATCTTCGCGGGCTCTGACGACGGCAAGGGGCTTCCGCTCTCTGTCTCGGCGGTGGATGGGGCGGCTGTGCAGAATCCTTGTTCGGACTTCGATGAGTGGGAATTTCCGGAGGTGGAGGACGGGCCGCCGCCTCGGGTCATTTTCGCAGGCGCGCCTACTCTTCAAGAAGCCAAGGAGGCCACCTCTGACCTAAAAGAAGCAATTGAGAAGTAAAATCTTTCCTTTTTAACTTTTCATTTCCTCATTTTCTGTTATATTATTGAAAAAACAAGTCTAATTATTGGGTACACCATATAAGTTTTGGAGTAATACGAGTACTAAAACCATTGATTGCCATAATTAGGACTTTTGTATGGGTAATCATGATTGATAATTTGTGACATGTTTGACGGAATCGAATACATTTACAGTATGTTCTTGTCACCTGGGAACAAATTTGGAGGTTCTAGAGCCACCGAATCAGATCTCGCGTCAAGTTTTAATGGTTTGGAGACTAAATTTTGTGTTAATGCTGAGACAAGCGCTGTTAAGGGCTCGACACCTACAAATGTCTTACGGGCATTCAAGTTACTCTATGAAAGTTCTGATGCCCAGGTTCGTTTATGGCATTATTGAGATTGTTAATGAAAGTTCATGGATTATGGGTATCAGAGAGCGAACATTATTAAAGAGAAATACTCGAATTGGTTTATACCAGAATGAGTGTGATCCTCTCACAACTTGCTAGGGAAGAGTATTTATAGATGGAGAAGACACACGCAGGCGCCAAAAGCCCAATGCTGGTCCGGCTAACTACTACCCTAGAGGACCTTTCTTGCTTCAGTCCTGCATGACCAACCTTGAGGTCGACCATGAGCCACTTGTTCCTTCCAGGCCGTCATCATGACTGGAGGATGCCTGGCCTAGTCGACCTCGGACCCTCAGACAAGCACTGTGCCAAGGTGGGCCTCCTCTCCATTGAGAAGGGCCTATGATCTTGGGCTGTTGACTCATCTTCTTTGGCCCTAATACGCGTGGTCTAGTGTCTCCATCAAAAGTATTGTGTCATCCCATATCAGCCGAATATAAGAATATAAACTAATATACCAGACATTAGATTACTACCCTGATGATGGAATCCTAAGTTTTAATGTCTTTTGTGAATACAAATGGTTGGATTTGTTTGGAACTATCAAATAAATGAATGTTTTTGACCTTTCATAATCATCTAAGCATCGTGAGACCTTCATAAGCATCTATAGACTTCATTCATTTGGCATGAAAAATTAAGTTTGTGCCTTTATTTCTCAATCAAACCAAGTCTATACTTATAAATGCATTCTAAAATCCTCGCTCTTTTTTCTGATTTTCCCAGAATGTTGTTGCTTCAATTGCTTGTGATCCAAATGTTAACAGAGCTGTAATGGCCAATCCCGAGCTGCAGAATTTCATTGCATCATACAAAAGTAATAAGCCAGGCCATCTCTTCTCCTGTTTCTCTATTGCTCCATTGTTTGCTAATTATATTTATTTGAATTTTTAAGTGTACTCATGGGACACAAGATAATAAATGGGATGGAGGGAGTATATATTTTCTTTCAAAGTTCTTTTGACACCAAAGCCCACTGCCATAATATGACACCCGGTCTATTTGGAGGCCCGGTGATTCATTTGATCCCGAAGTGGCTCTTATCCTCCATCTCCCTATAAACTCCCTCCTAGCATGTCTATGTCTCCCCAGCCCCTCTAACGTGGGTGAAAATCCACTATCAAATGCTGTCAAATACTTTGTATTTGACAGTAAATTGTCACCCACACGCAAGGGGTCTGGGCGAGCTATGGGGTTAAGGGTAAGAACCACTGCGGGTCAAACGGAGCACCCTAGGACCACCAAATGGATCAGTATCATATTATGGCACTAGGCCATCGTGTAAAAAGAAAGGGCTTATGTATGTATGTATATATATGTGTGTGTGTGTGTGTGTATATATATATATATATATATGTAAGAAGTCTTTGTATTTTAGGTAGATTGGCAGTCTTCAAAATATTATTGAGCTATTTCCAACATTAATACTAGTAAATCACCACCTTTAGTTAGTAATTCATCTCCTTCTTTGAACCCGCAGGTGCATATCTGGCCAGAGAGAGCGACGATGACATGGATGAATCTGTTGGGGAGAATGGACCGTCGCCACATGAAGCCACACCAGATTGTGTAGAAAGTTCTATAGGTGGTGGGGTTGCAGGTTTCTTCAAGAATATGAAAGTGGCTGTGAGTGATATGATGAACAGCCTCTCTGGTTACATCGAAAAGTTGTTCGGGGGCTTCAATCTGGCGGGGGTGAACGCCGATGGAACTGCAAAACTCAGTGGCGTTGACATGACAATCGGTGCTTCGTTTTTAGGATTGGCTGTGATGGTGATCATGGTCGTTTTCCTGAAACGACCTTAATTGCCTCAATGCACCAATTTGCCGAAACTATGTTCATTAGCTTGTCATGAACAACTTGTTTGTTTTGAATTCACTGTCGTATGTTCTGAAACCATGTTAAGAGCTTTGGGTTTCTTGTTTTAGATTCACTCCATTTACTATGAGTTTATGCACGTGCATTATGACATTCTCTCGTGCTATAGAAAAATTTCACATTTTCTAAAAATTTATCTCAAAACAAATTACTTTTTCGTTTTTGCAATTTTTGTGTCTCAAATTGTATCTTCTTTTGCGCTGCTTTCAACATCATAATTTTACATTTTTTAATCTTTCTACCTAGTCAAGTGATTTTTTTGAAACCAACCACCTTGCATTTTCTGCTTCACTCACTAGACAAGTATTAGCCACTAAGAACTACGGTAGTCAAAATAGACTTTAACTGTACTTTTATTATGTTCTTATGTTTTTAAAAGTTTGTCTCAGTGATCTTTTTGGTTAAATTGTGTAACTCTTTAATTTGAGTCCAATTTGGTTTGGGTCTTTGATTTGAAAATTTTGCAATCTCGTCTTGACTCTTGACTAGACCAACTTGATTGACATGTCAAAAGGAAACCCAATTTTGCTAAGATATGAATGGCTCTATTAAACTAAAAAAAACCTTTATACTAATGTATACCTTCGGGGTGAAGAAGATCTTTGATCTTCCTTTCAAACTAATTCTCTAACATACATGTCTATATGCATATGAAAAAAGAACATACAATAACTTAGAATAGAGAATTATATTAATGTAATGTATTTATTTTATGAACTTTCAAAATAGTTTGAAATTTTAAATATAAAAAATAAACACTAATTTATTTTTTCTAAAAAATAGTTATTTTAAATTTAAAAATCAAGTAATAACCTAATGTTATTTCCTCTAAAACTTGTCTAGGTTCCCCATTTTGGGAGTCAGACCTTGGTAGTAAGGTCTTCCCTAGAATATAAGTTATTTTCTTCATTCATCTTGATCAGGGAATTTTTATATTATATATTTTGGTATTATATAAGAACAAATTAGCTACTCCATAGTATTTGCTCTTTTGAAAATATGAGTATTGTCTTGCTCTATCAGTATTTTTCAGGCAATCAGTAATATTAATAAAAATGAGTAATAGAAATTGAAAATAAAAAGTGTAGACAAGTATATGCACAATGACATTAAAAACTAGATGAAGAAATGAAAGAATACAAATTAAAAAAGGGAGTATCTAATAATGTACTCTCTCCGTGTCGAAAAAATCTTCCCAAATACTTATTTTCTTTTTCTAAAAAATATTTTTTTATTACTTTTTTAATAATCAAAATATCACAACTATCTTACTTACGTTATTTATTAAATCTCTCTACCTCATTTAAGATATTCATCCTTTTTCAATAAAGGTATTTAGTACTCCGTGACTTTCTATATTTTTTTGAAGGAGAGAAGTAATACAAGATAATCATTTGAATTGATCAAATATTCAAATGGATCAATGACTGGATTAAAAATAATTAATTGTTTACCATTTCCTTTTTAATTACTTCCAGATTATATTAATCATGTTTATTGTTTCTTAAAATTTCTTTTTTTGCGAATCTGGACTTATAGTTGTTTAACTTTCTTTTTTAATTATTTTCAATTATATTAATCACGTTTAGTATTATAACTTACCAAAAAAAGAAATACCGTGTAATATCAACTTACCATTTCCTTTTTAATTATTTCCAAATTATATTAATCACGTTTAGCATTATTATTATTTCTTAAAATATCCTATTTTGCGAATCTGGACTTATAATTGTTTAACTTTCTTTTTTAATTATTTCCAATTATATTAATCACGTTTAGTATTATAACTTACCAAAAAAAGAAATACCGTGTAATATCAACTTACCATTTCCTTTTTAATTATTTCCAAATCATATTAATCACGTTTAGTATTATTATTATTATAATTATTATTATTATTATTATTTCTTAAAATTTCCTATTTTACGAATCTAGACTTATAATTGTCTAACTTTATTTTTTATTATTTCCAATTATATTAATCACGTTTAGTATTATAACTTACCAAAAAAAGAAATACCGTGTAATATTTTTTTCCAAAAAAAAAAGAAATACCATGTAATATTAACTTATCAATTATATTAATCACGTTTAGTATTATAACTTACGAAAGTAACTCTACGAAGTGTTCCAAAAAAAGAAATACCGTGTAATATTAATTGCCTTTAATTGCCTTATTATTTATTATGGTTAATATCGTGTAATATTAATTGCCAAGGCGGAGGCCATTTAACATATTTATTTAAATTAATTAATTTAATTATTTAATGTAATTGAGTCATTACCATTTTAAGTGAAAAGTTACCATTTTTAATGCAATAATGCATGGGCGGGAAAACCATTTCTTAAATCCATGTCTTTTTAAATAAAGTATGGATTTAGTAACTTTCTATATTTTTTAAACTCTTAAAAAAACATAAAACATCAACTTGTGCATATCTTTTTTTGAAGGAGAGAAGTAGTATAAGATATTTTATATTTTAATTATTTTTAATCCAGTCATTGATCCATTTGAATATCTGATCAATTCAAATGATTATCCACCCACTTGTCCAAACTTAAGTAACGTTTGGGTGACCAGAAAGATTTTAGCCCCCCTGATTGCCTTGACTCCGCTCTCATTTTGTAGATTTCTCGGGTAGAACCCTGGTTGGCAAAAGGAGCTTAAACCCCAAAATGGCTTTGAGAGCGGCGGCGGCGGCGGCGTCTAGAACTACGGTAGCTTCTCGAGGCCTTAGAGCTCTATTCTCCACTGTCTCTTCAAGTTACCGTTACACTCCAGTGCAGACTCAAGTTGAGAAGCCACCTCCGGCTGAGCCGTCCACCAATCTCTTCGTCTCTGGTATCGCGGCCATACAATTTTCCTCGTATTTGCAATCACCGTTTGAAGATCTCATCTTGTTTTTTGTATTAATTGTACATTTTCCCCCGATTTCTATGTTTGTATGCTTAATTTAGATCTTCTGTGTCAGGGTCGTTATTCTATGGACTGCAACGAAAGAAGTATATTTCTCTCCAGTATAATTGGGCGTCTTTAATATAAAAATGGCATAACGCTTCGATTTTTCCATATGAATATTGACTTTTCAGGCTCTAAATAGATTTCTCTAAGGTGTGAGTTCATTGAGAGCGTTGTATTAGGTTCCATCACAAGTGATTATCTTGTAGCTAATTTTGTGATGGCATTCATTTCTTCAGCGAATAGTTAATTTCAGTCAGTGAATGTAGCCTAATTGCAATAGCAAATGCTATGGTTTCACCAATATATTTTGTTTTTTTTCTTAGTCATTGCAATATGATGAACATTTTGAATTCATTCATCAAACTTTTAGATTTTTATTGTTCAAGATGCCATTCTAATTATTGCCTCTATATCTGGTATGAGTTCATCATGTGTATTATCTTGGGTGATTATGGTTCCCTTATAAACCCACTGGAAGGGGTAAACTTTTCTTCTCATGTTACTTGCAGGCCTCAGCAAACGCACAACATCCAAAGGACTTCAAAAGGCTTTTGAACCATTTGGTGAGGTGGTGCGTGGTATGTTCCTCATCCATACACTTTAAGGGTTAGTTCAGATTAAGGGTTTTTAAGTTTGGGGGTGATTGGTTTGAAGGCTAAGTCTATATCATGATAAATATTTGCAGTTTTATAAAATTTGAAAGACTAACATAATAGTCCGATCAACAATTTATCCAATTTTAGAAACTTTTTGAGTATTTATCATGAGATAGAGTGCCTGGTTGGCAACAGCAAACAGCTTCCGCCTTTTGCTTTGGCGTTTTGTAAAGGTTATCTACCGGTAGCTTTTAGCTTCAACATTTTCAAATTTAATTTTCACCATTAAAAAAAATCCAAAACGCTAATGCCAATTGAAAACATTGTTCTCAATCAAGGCCGGACTAATCTCTCCAAAGCCTCTCCTCAGAAACAAATAATGAAAATCAAGCCGTTGAGATATTCAAGAATGAATAAATATGATATAATATGCTATATATGATAATAATATTGATACTCGGATATTCACGTGAAACCAAATCGAAAAAATTCACGGGCTCTTTTTTACCTTACCATGCCAAGGAGCCTCTAATAAAAATTTATACTTTAGGAGTCATAGTACATAGTGCTGGCCTTAAAGCCATTAATGGAGGTCCTCCAACTTAAAGAGGAAATAGAGAAATATATGGGATAGAGAGAATTGTGGTATACGTGTGTATCATGGCCTCCCTTGTGGTGTGGATTTCTCTTTTTATGATTGAGTGGAGGGAGTGGTTGTGGTTCCACATGAGTTGTTTTGGGACCTAGTGTTGGGTGATGATTGATTCTGCTCCCCAAATATCTTTCAAATGTGTATTGTGGACAATCAATTGTTTGTAGGTCAACTCCATAGTGGGTCGCGCCCAGTATCTCTAGGCCAAGGGGAGTATTATTCCATCACTTTCCGTCAAAACGGATGATAAGTTTTTTGTTGCAAGATTAAGGCATTCATCCCAATGAAAAATGAGAAAACACTAATGTCTTTTTTTTCATCTTTTCTATTGTGGTTGCAGCTAAAGTAGTGACAGATCATGTATCTGGCTTTTCAAAAGGTTTTGGTTTTGTTAGATATTCAACATTGGAAGGGGCTGCAGCAGGTATTAAAGGCATGGATGGCCAGGTTAGTTGAGATCCCTTAATTCTCTTATTTAGGAGATTGATAATATTTTGTTTTGCGTGTGTGGGCATAGATGTATGTGTGTCCACACCTGAATATGCTCTAGTATTCATGACGTTTCTTAGTACAATATGGGAAGAATGGATGGAGATCAAGGATCTGTTACAGTATATTGTGTTTGGGGAATTGGGAAAGAAATGAAAATGCTAAGGAAAAGAAAAGGAAGTTTTAAAAAAACAAAAAAACTTACCTTGTTTGGTTAGTAGGGAATTAGTGAGAAAATTAATTTTCAATAGCTCTTATGTTTGGTTGTGCCGTTGTGGTAGAGAAAATGAAATAAGACTTGGTTGGAGGGAGATGGGAGGTTTGATGTTTTCTCTCCATTTTCTTACAGAAATGGTAGTAAAATCACATTCTAGTTTCTTTACATTACATTTTTCTATCCTTTTTTTTTCATTCTAACCAAACACCAAAATTGCTTCGGTGGTTTGGGTCTAAAGTGGACTCAAACCCCTCACAGGTTGTGTTCGCTTCGGCAGTTTGGGCCTAAATACAAATAGTAATAACAGAGTGGGCTGGTATATTGGGCCTTACTTGCTATTTACAGACTCGGGCCGGTCCAATATACCCATCAGACCCAAAATTGATTCTGCTTCCAAGTGCTCCTTGAAGAAGCAGAATCAGTTTCATAAAATCAGTTTCAAACACCGCATCGTGTATATTCGGCTGATTGCGTTCCCTGGTTTTTGTGTAGTTTCTGGATGGATGGGTTATATTTGCAGAGTATGCAAGACCAAGAGAGAATCCTCCCCCTCTAAACAACTATAACAACAGCTATGGTGGACCTTTTAATGGCAATTTCAACAGATAAACTTTTGGCAGCCAGTAGCTCTTCTTCTTCTTCTTCTTCTTCTTCTTTGGCAAAAGGTTGAAGATTTCCGTATTTGGATTTCCGTTATAGGTTCCTGGAAACCGAATATCATTTATACTGCTCTTACTTTCGGTGTCGAAAACCCCATTGAATGTATGTGACCTTTCTCCTCTCTTGGTTACTTGCCAGTATATTACTATTGTTCAAGCAAGAATTTCCCAACATTGTGATGCCAAACAGTCCATTATATCTTTTGGTTCTATAACTATGGATTACAAGTCATTTTATTTTAACTTGTATTATCCTTTATCGACCATAACTCTCACCGGACTAGGGGTTCGTTTGGATCAAGTAAAATGTAAGTGAAGGCGAAAAGAGCCGTCGAGGAAATCTGTTTTGTTTTGCAAGGATCTTTTGTAGAATTTCAACTTCTAATTCAATTCCAATTGCATTAATTTTGTGTAATAAATGGATCCTTAAATTTTTGGAGTGGAGTCATAATTGGTAAACTGAAGCAAATTGCCAAATAGGCAAAACTGTATTTTAACGCAGTAAAACCTTAATAAGCAACCATTGTACTACACTCTACACTACAAGAAACAATTGTGATCCCATGATGAATCCATATCATCTTTGTTCTCATAACAAAATACTCCCATCTATGTATGCCTTCTTCCTTCATGCACCGCCGCCTTCTCCGTCTTCCAGCCCGCCCATCGTATCGTACAACGGCTTGTTCAACGTCTCCGGCAAGAAGTATGACATCAGCCCTCCAACGACCCCGCAGATTCCGAACACCAAGAAAGGTATCCCGCCGCCAAGAACCACGATGAACGGTACCAAAATCGCCCCCAGCTGTGCCGCCTGTGTGGCCGATCCGAGCGCGGCGTTCCTCACGGTGGTCGGGAAAAGCTCCACTGTGTATATGAACAACAGGTTGTACGTCCCGGCCATGCCAAAAATCCCAAACACTCCGCACATCATCCGCGTGATCTTCCATTTCCCGTACCCCTTCAACAAACTCCCGGCCACACAGAAAGCCCCGCTGAACAATTGCGTCCCGATCGCCAACGGCTTTCTCCCGAGCTTGTCGAGCAACATCGCTGTCAAGAAGTACGCCGGCATTTCCGCCACGGCGTTAAGGGCGACACTCACGTAGAGGTTCGTCCCGAGGTTAACAGCGTTCAAGCTCAGCCCGTAGTACACAGTGGCACACATGAAGTTGATCGTCACGGCTAGGAGCAACCGGACGCGGGTGAGAGGACACCATAGGACGTCGACGAGGGAACCCGACGTGGGGGGTAAATTTTCGATGTGAGATACTTTAACAGTCTCAGGACATTCATCTTTCGCTTCGGTGTCGAGGGCAAGGACGACATCTTCCTCAGGAAGACGTCGTCTCCCGTTGGACTTTGCAATTCTTTGCATGATTCTCATGGCCTCCTCGGCCCGCCCTCGGACGAGGCACCAGCGAGGGGACTCGTCGAGGAACGGGAGGACGAGGAGGGCATAGAGAACAGAGGGGATGGATGAGGCGATGTAGAGAGCGCGCCACGTTTGGAAGTGGTAAGCGATGGCAGAGAGGAGAGCGATGCCAGTGGAGAAGAAGTAGAAGGTGGACATGCCGACAAGGCCGCGTTTGGTCGGACCGATGGGCTCGGTGGATAGCACGAAGGCGCAAAGGCCCGTGCCGCCGGTGCTGAAGCCGGAGAGGAGGCGGAGGACGGCGTAGACCCAATAGTTGGGAGAGAAGGCGGTGGCTACTCCGAAGATGGCGTTCATTATGCATACTATGGTTAGGGATCCTTTCCTTCCCATTCTTGAGTCTGAAAGATGGCCAAACACTCCAGCTCCTGGGGAAAAACATGGCACAAGTCTATCAGTAACACTCCACATGCTATTTTATTTTAACGTTTTAAAAAATCAATATAATATTAACTACAAAATTTAATCATTTTCTTTACGCATTTGATAAAATAATATATTCATATCAACTTTCTAATAAATTACATTGAGAATAATTTCAGTTAAAAATCATAACACGAGAGAGCTGATTTAAATTAGGAGGTAGAGAATAACATTTTCAATATGTTTAGGTATTGCTTTCTCCGAGGTCTAATTTGTACTAAAAAAAAGTCATTCATTGTCACATGAAGTCGATCATGAACAAAACTGGCAGAGGCATATGACACATTATTAAATTTTGCGGCCCTTCCATATATTTATTTATCTTTAATTGGCCGGCGGTCTATTTCATTTATGGAAAATACAATAATAATAATTAGGGTGCCATTAATTATATACCTTTCTGGAATGATCAATTCAATACATGCACCTTACCCCTTGACCAATTATAAAAAGACCAAAACTTTAATAAACGTAGCCACATACCACCAAGTATATATAATTCTTATTTTTATTACAGGATCCATTCAAAGTACTGACAATGTTTTGTTTATAAAATTGATCCTTACCGTTCTACATAGATCTTTCAGACTTTATTCACATGCTTAACTTTATGCCAATTATGTTTGTTCATTTGTACTACTCATTTTATAAAGTTATATAGTCTTGTCATTTTTGTTTTATAGAATTTTTCTTGTAGCTTTTTACTAAATAAATTTTACTTTTAAATTTTAAAATTACAATTAAATAAATTGATTTAAAAATAAAATCGATGAAGCCGCATAAGACATAATAGGAAAGATCAATGAAGGACGAAAAGTGTAACTCTTGCCCCAAATCCTTCCTGAACCTCCCAACCCAATCCCCTGACCTCCTCCCTTCCATGCCGATTTGCTGTAACAAATCAGCGTGGAATGAAAGGATTGATGGGCTGATGTGGGGCAGACATCAGAGTAGGGTTTTAAGGTTATAAACCATCAATTTAGTGAACGAAGTATTGTAGATGCTCTAAATTAAATAACCAAATGTATAGTGGCACTTAGTGTTACGTAGTTCTAAACTCCGTTGTCATCGTCTCATTCGAATCGAACCTATTAAAATTATAATGACTAGTTAAATGTGAATGAATGTATAGAATATTAAATATTTAAAAATAAATTTAGGCTGGCAATCATAGAGTCATGTGGCGATTCGTCCAGTTAGGCAGTTCAAAAATGTACTTCTCTCCTATAATAAAAATAAAAATTGACTGATTTTATTCTTAAATATTGATATGAAATTCAAAATTAAATTTAAGCATCTAACAATGTCGCTAATATTTCATGAAATAAAATTTTCGTTAAAATAAGATTTTTATTCGATTTTCTTTTCTCAAATCTGACAAACGCGGCCTTTACTTTGAAAGTAAACAACTTTTGAAAAGAAAGAAAGAAAAAAAGATTTGGAGGACGTACCAATCATACAGCCAGCGAAAAACAGCGACTGGACGAGCCCGACCCGATATTTCAGCCCACAAACGAGCCCAAACTCCGCCACCGTCGAGCTCCCCGGCCCACCATCCCATTCCCACGGCCGCGGACCCAGTCCGCAGGCGGCGGGAGACGAGCTCCGGCGGCCGGGGTCGCGGTCGGCGAAGATCATGACCATGGTGTGGATTCCCTCGAGAGCCCACGGCAAGCTGGCCAGCACGAAGTGTCTCAGCTGCCACCACCCGAACTCGCCGCAGTACTTCTGCAGCGCGCCGTCCACCGTCATCTTCTCGGCTCTTTTCTCTTCGCGGAGGAGCGGTGCCCGGAGGCCGCCCTCGCTCGCTCCCGTGGAAGCCATTGTTCTCTTTTTGTAGGTCTGCCCTGTTCGGGGAGGTTTATATAAGTACTCCCATTACCTGTACACATAGATCTCCCCAGACACTATTCACTTTGTTTACTCAATTTTACTAGTCATTTCATAAAATAATGTAGTATTGTCACCTCTAGTTTTATAAAACTTTTTATGTAGTTTAATACTATATAAATTTTATTTTAAAATTTTACTCATATAATCAATTAAATTGAATTGAAAATAAAGTCGGTCAAGCCTCGTAACGCGTAATGGGAAGATTATACATGGACGGAGGGAGTATAAATATAACTAGACCCGCAAAAAATGACTTTTTTGACCCGAAACCTGACCTAAAAACAATGGGTTTTGAACAAAGGTTTGGATGACCGAACCCGAAATGACCCGCTAAAAATGGGTCAAACCCGACCGAACCCGATTACGACCCGACCGACCCACTAAAGTAAGGGTAGGGAGGGGGGGCTGGAGTGGGGGGCAAGGGTGGGGCTGGGGTGGGGGTTTATGGGGGTAGGAACCGTCGTTTTTACAAACAGAACATCGTAGGTACCCAAACAAACTGGTGTAAGCAACTGATGTATAAGTAACTGGTGTCATTTTAGACGCTCCCTTTTTAAAAATTCTTGTTAGACAGAATTGCAGTGAACAAACAATTTATTTCTCCCTATATCATACATTTTTCTTTTAATTTTTATTTTTGTGGTCAACTATTTACAACACTGACAAAATGTTATGGAAAAATACATTGAATTGTGAAATTTTTTTCTTTTAATTTTTCTTGTTAAACTCGCGCAATATCAACATATTAATTTTGAAATGTGGTTTTGGAAACATTATATTCTTCTTTAAATTTATATTCATATACAAATCCAGATATTGATAATAGAAGTACTCTTTTTAAAAAGAGTAAAAATCAAGGTCACGTGAAAAAAAGATTCTTATGTAAATTTGATTTTTTAGGGAAAAAAACAAAATTTAAAAGAGAGTTTGAGACAGGTGAGGAATCGATGATGAATTGTCTTGTTTTGCACGTAGGATATTCCAATCCAATCCAATCCAGAGCAGGTGTATTGACTACTCCTGCAGCAGCTTGTTGGCAGGGATAAGGCCGCTACTCCTCTTTAATCGGCAATGTTAGGGGTACACCAACATGGGGTACCCCAAGTGTACACTAAGCCAACACAGACACACACAGACACAAAATGTCTGTGCAACACAGACATTTTGTGTCTGTGGTGGTTTTGGTGTACATTTGGGGTACCCCATGTTGGTGTACCCCTAGCTTAATTCCTCGTGAAAATTGTGTTGAGATTTGACGGTTTTGCCAATTTTAATGATTTTGGGGCTATATTTTTTATATAAAAAAAATTTAACTAAATTTAGAATTGCAATTCGCCGGGTGTGTGATTAGAAGGGTAGGATTAGTCAATTATATGAATCCGTCCCATATATGTCACAATTGAAACCGAACATGACATGAAAAGCCTTGAGCACATATGATATATGCCCCCATTTGACTGATTCATATAATGTAAGTTCTGAACCGCTCAACAACGACCATCAAACACAAAATGCATTCAAATAATTATACTCACTCTGCTTTTTAAAACAGTTTTTGTTTTGACTTTGGGACAAAATAATGAAAGTATAATTTTTTTACTTTTCAATTTTGTCCCTGATGTAATGGGTAAAAGTAAGATGTGATAGTTTACTTATCAGTGAAAAAGTATGATGTGATAGGTAGTGCAGAAAAAAGTATGGGTAAAACTGGTTCTTTAATAGAAAACGGAAGTGTTTTAAAGAAAACAAAAAAAATGAAAGAGCTTTTGGTTTTAAGATACGGAGGGAGTATGTAGAAATTGCTGCAGAGCATTCACTGAAGGCAGACAAGATGCTGCGGCACTTTCTCTAACACTGACACACAAAGAGTAGAATAAAAGTACTCCGTAATAAAGAAGACACAAGAATTGTTTTGATCTTCTATAATGTTTTTGTTAATTTGACGGCTAAAAATATAATTTTACAATGATAACATATCTTTCTTGTCATGCACAATTCCAATGGTCGCTCCTAATGCGTCGTTGGTGATTTACAATCACTTTTTACTACAACTGTAGTCTACACATGTTGTCTTTCGTCAAAATTCTAGCCCAAAATCATATTCGTTATTTTTCTGTTATCCGACTAACCAATATCAGAATACGTCACAGACTTAAGGTTGATGTCAGATTATACTTTTAACCTTTAAATTTACACCAATATGCCAGAAGATCAAAAAATGACTATTTTGTAAAAATGTATATATTAAAGAAGGATTACAGGAGTAATATTTAATAATAAAGAACCAAACATGAAAAACCTCCTGCTACAAAGGATTAAATATGAAATTTATAGACACTGTACCATTTGAAAATAAGATTCCTTATTTCGAAACTCTTTCTAACCAAAAAATTTAAAGATCACTTTCACAATCAATTCCACACATTTTCTTAATGGGGAGCATTTATGAGTTTATTAAAAGTTATTGTTAGTATTTCTCATGGTTCTCGGTACATTGAAAATTAATGTCAATCCATTGGATGATCCGAAATCATTACAGTGTTTCCTTAAAAAAATGAACATTCTTACCCACCTAACTCTTCTGGTAAATCTCTCCACCCATCTCGGGTAGAACCCACACACTCCGTCACTTGCACCCCTCTGATTTAATTGACTTTAGAGTCAAATAATATATTTTGAAAATTTGGTTCAAGTTCTATCAGATGTAAGTTATACTCTTATTTGAGTTTTGACTTTTTGTATATAAATATATAAATATCAACAAACATTCAAAATACTATCCTGTTATCATTCATTTGTTCAGTTTGTGAAATATAAATTAAGTTTTGATAAGCACTTGTACTTATTACATTTAATTAATCATTTTTTTTAGTTTTTTATATTAAGTTTTTGATAAGTACTCAATGTCAAAAAACAACAAGAAGAAAAAAGAAAAAAGTTGAGCCCCATCTCCGAGGCTTCCCTCAGGATGGTATTTAAGAAGAGGTAAATTGGACTTTAATCGTAGATTGTTGCTAAAAAGTAGAGCATGCAGCTAGCACTTGCAGATGTCCTATGCTTAGCATAATGACCTCTTAGCACAGTTACAAGTCGTATAACATCTTACTCTATCAAAAAGTGTGTCTAAAACTAACTGATTCCACTAAAAACCAACACCAAACAAAGTAACCCAGTATACCACCATAAGGCTATTGCAACAATACAACAACATAATATTTTTGCATTATATCATAGCTGGTGCCATCTCTGTATACATAGTTATATAATACTATATCTCTATTTGCAATACATATATATATATATATATATATATATATATATATATATATATATATATATATATATATATATATATCTCTTTGGGCTGCTGCTTAATTTAATCAGTGCCAAGCCGATACAGAAATCAGATTCCTCTGTTTCCACCCTAAGAGCATCGCCCCGTCCCTCTCCGACACCGTGTAATGCTCCGAGTAACGCTTCAGCAGCGCCGCGATCACCGAGTTCACGTAAGCGTTGAGGGGATACTCCCGAAACCCGGCCATCGTGAACCGGCTTTTCCACTTCCCGAGCGGCTCGGGCCGCTCCACCCTCTCCTCCCCTTCGCACGCGATCACGTTCACTATGTCCCCCGCCACGCAGTGCTGCTCCACCCCCACCCGCTCCTTGTCTCTCGCTAGGCTGGCGTCCATCGACTCGAACACGGCCCCGTAGTAGTCCAGTGTTTCTAGAAACCTCGGGAAGAATGGGGCCGTGTTCGTGTTCGACTCTTGCTCCACTAGAGTGACCACCTTCGGCGAGATCGACTTGACGAGCCTAAGGACCCCGTCCCTCGGGTTCCTCACGTCCACGCTCTCGTCCGGTGTCCGGCGGAGCCGGAAGGGGAAGTTCACCGCCACCGCCTCCCCGGGCCGAATGTCTAACATGTCCCTCGTGATGGCTCCCGATGCGAGTGCGGGAACCACTGCGTGGAACTCGACGGGAATGTTGAATTTCTCAGAGATTGCATCGAGACGTGCACCGACGGCCGATAAGCCGTGTTTCGAGACCGGGTCATCGATCCCCGTGATTCGGACGCTCGGGGGCCCACCCGGTCTCGCGGCTAGTGCTTGTAGAAGAGTCAACCATTGGGTCCCTTGGGCGATGCGAAAGTCAATGATGTGAATGCGGTCTTCGTCTCTACACGCGTCGGCTATGGCTCCGTTTGCCGCCATGTAACCGAATTTCAGGTAAGGACACGTTTGGTAAAGCCCAATAAACGACGCTTCTTTACCCCGCAAAGCCCTACAAATGTTGGCCCCGGACGCTTGTTTCCTCGCCACCAACCCTTCGATCACGTAAGCTCCGAGTCGCTGATTAGGGTCTCCGTTAATGGAAACCAAGACGCGTGCCTCTTCAACCAGCTTGCCAAACAAGTCCTTGTTCCCAATGACAAGTGCTCTGGCACAGGCAATAAGAATCTGTTTTATATCACAGCCCAGCAGGGGGAAACCGTGCACGGTTCTGCAGCGCTTGACAGCCTGAATGCTCAAAGAAGGATCCGATGCTTCGTCACATAACGACCGTTTGTTGGTCTGATTAAGATTATGAAAAGGGGTTTCAACAGAAGGGATTAGTAGAGTCTGTGGAGGGCAACCGAACGGGGAACTACACGGTTGGAAGCAGCAATCCGGTAAAGAAATGGTAGTATCGGTAGAGCTTTGTGGTTCTTGGCTCTCACATAATGAGGTTGGGGTTTGAGGATCAAAGTGAGCCACAAAGGGTGAATTCGGAGAATTTCCCGAGTCGAAACTTAAGGACTCCATATATGGGTATAAAGAGTGCCCGAATCCCAATCCAGTTGCACCGTATCCGAAATACTGATTTGAGTCCATTCCTTCTGAAGTTCTGCACAAGACATTCTCAAACATAAGTTTCCATTTCAGTTCCAACAGCATATCTTAGCAATTACTACATTATATTGTTGCTAGCATATCAAATCCCCATCTATAAGACAAAAGTGTGACAAGAATGCAACAACAATAACAACAAACCCAATAAAATCCCACAAAAAATGTAGGCTCTGGGAGACAAGATTTGAATT